ACAACAACAACAACAACCTACAGTAATTTATAAATTAATTAAATATTAAATTTCATATTTTATCAAACACTATCGACAAAAGAAACAAACGCACTTGACTGATGAGAAGGTGAAGTGCCATTTCCGTCCAGAGATGAAGTTACCGATATTCCTTGCTGCTGTACTGCCTGAGTTAGTGGTGATACTGCTCCCTGACCTTGTTGAATCCTTTGTGCAACAGTCTAAAAAGCAATTAATTTAATACTTATATATATATATATATTTATATTTTACATAAAGTTGCAGGATAATGGCAAACACATAAGACATTATCTTAAAAATAAATTTACTATCAAAATCCTTTTAAGCTTCATTGTAGGTTTCAACATGAATTATTTTAATAAATCATTTGACATCTATGATGAAACATTGCAGGATAATTTACTTAGCAATTTTGTTGTGGCTTACATATTTTTAGGCTATATCGTTTAATAAGATGTAGATTCATAAACTGATGACCAAAAAAAATTAAATGATTAATGTAGCAAGTTTTCTTTATATCTTATGCAAGAGAATAGAATTTAATTGTGAAATAAAAGCAATTATTAACATGTGAAGCAAATTCACAGGCACAGACACAAGATGTTAGCATCAAGTGAGGTAATGATTTAAATTCTTGGAGCTTAAGATTCTTACAATATCAGTTCGTAACATATATTTTTAAACAAATAGAGAAGCCTTATTAAAATGCATCATAAATAAAACTGGGGGAGAGATAGTATATGGCTGGTTCTCTGGAGAGAACTAGAAGAAAAGCAGGTAGTGTGGTCAGTCCCATGCCAATGCCAACTTTATCTTCCAAAAATCATCTTCCATGTACTTCTTGGAGGAGAAACTGAATGGAGTACAGACTCACACAAACCACAACAGGTGAAAACCAGAGATTGTCTGCTTGGCAGTCCAATACTGTACTGTCAACATTAAATGGGTAATGAATAAATTCCCATTTGCTTAAATAATGAACTGATTGGTTAATACTAACAACACTTAATATGGATAGATTATGAAGCAGACAAAGAACAAAAAAGCCATGTGTGTTTAATAGTTGTTTGTGTTTAACTGTAGCATTGTTAAAACCAGGAATTCTGGATTAACAATTAGAACTGGCCAGTTCCCACAAGACACATTGTCTACAGCAGTGAATGCCAACTTTTCTGACCTCATGGACCACTAAACTCATAGGGCCGATTGCAGAGACAGAGTTTACATTAAACGACGTTTATCAACAAACGGCCTATAGCCGTTGGCTGGCTGAACTGCAGTTAAAAATGCATTGCAAAGACGACGATTGTCTATTTCTGACCGTTCTCTAAACGAACTTCGGCAAAACATTGGCTCTTACTTACTTCGCTATTAATCCCCTGTTTTAGGAGTTGTTCGGCCAATCGGGTTATTTCTTTGTGACATCAGAAATGGTCGTCAGCTATATTCGGAAAGCTTCCAGAAATAAAATCTTAAGGCCGTCAAAATCATTGTTCGGCAATTAATGGCAATCCTTTTCCATTTCGATATTTAATTTCATCGCCAATACGATTTAAAATATGAACAAATCCATATTTAGAAAATTTATACCAAATTCGAAATTCGTCTTCGGAATAGATTTTTAAGGAATTATTTCGACATCTTATTACTGTCAAAATGAATAATTTTAAATATTTTATTATAAATATTACATTTTTTTTAAATATCTATAAACAGATTTCTGTAATTATTAAAATTGTCTCGTTTGTTTAACAGTACAATGACTCCGAAATGCATTAACGTTTTATAACCAGCACAATGCTTGAATTGTAAATAAATGCATCTGATTTAATTTAATTGAAGTTTTAAGTCTTCACCCATTTGAATATCAAAATTGGAGCATTTAAAACAAATTTAAAGTATTTAATTTTGTTGTTCTTGTGCCGAGCAATTAATTAATAAATAATTTTGTCGATTCGTACCGTTTACAACATTTATCAAAGGAACGATATCTGTTTTTATCTAAACTTTTCCACAAACAAAGCTACCACTCGAATTGAAAAGCCCTCTAAACCTGCTGTCCATTGAGTCTAGAAAGTAGGTCAAATAACTTGTTTCTAATCGCTGTCTACATTGTGGCAGGCGAGAAACGCCATTTCAGCAATGAAATTTTTCTGAACAGCGGTCTACCCGATCTGTAAACCGCTGTCGGCCTCTAAACTTTGTCTCTGAAATCGGCCAATACTTTTGAATCACAGACCACTATCATGAAATTTTTTTAAATGATATGATCATTATTCTATAGATGTTTGTAACAGTTCTGTTTTACTTTATTAATAAGAAATTCACTTGTTTAATTACAACAAATTAGTGTGAATTTTGTTACCACTTGTTTGAAATAAATTTATTGATTCTTGGCTCTTTTCCATAAAGGATGAAAATTGCACTCATTATTTATTGTTGATGATTTATTTACATTATTATTTATTGATAACAGTCATTTCATGTTTGGTTTTAGATTTAAATAAAAAAACCCTCTAACAAATGAGAAAAAGCAACCAAGCATTTTGCACTTCTTTCATAATACTTCACGTAACCTTGAGTTGATTGATGTCAAAATTTCTCCACAGACCACTGGTCTACAGTCAATTCAGTTAATGGGCATTTGATTTTGTTCACTCAATTCTTGAAGGTAAGCATCCAAAAATGCAACATTAATGCTTTAAGGGAAAACAAAAAAATAAAAAAACAGTTTTCATTAATTTAAAATTAAACAGTTTACAAATTCAGTCTTCTTAATTCACTTTCATTCACAGGAACAATGATGTATTAATCTTCTGTTTTATGCTAGGCTGATTACTGTATCAAGAAACATTGTCGACTAGCCTAACGTAAAATTACACACTAAACAATGACACCATTTGTCTGGAAGGACAATGTTAACAGTACTGACCTTCCATAAAATGGAATGCTAATATTATTAATTGATGTGTCATTCATTGTTTGGTGGAATCATTTCTGTGATGATCTAAATATCATCATCAATGCCTGATGATATCCAGAGGGTGTACAGGTCAACATGGTGAAAAAATCAAACTTTTATATTTGCCTATCATTCACTACCTTTTTCCAAACTCTCCCACCAACAGACAAGTATTTAGCCTGGATTAAAGTTAACCTTTCAACAGTGAACTAGTCAGGTATGGTTCTACCCCCCAGTAGTGGAGAATAAACGTGGGAAATTTGTATTTTTTCGCACATTTTTTCTCATTACCGTTTCAGAAAAAGATTTTGTAAACAGTTGTCTAGTAAAGAAAAATCTCTTTTTATTGTTACATAATTCATTTTTTAGGTGAATTTTTTTTTGCGTTAGTTTTTGGCGATACCCCCAAAAGAATTTAACGAATATATCCGTCCTTCACTACTGAGTGGTTAAATTCCTTTCCTCTAAAGCCTCCTTTACACTATCTTCGTCTAGGTTGTCCCTTTGGTTTTTTCTCTTTGATTTTAGCTTTGAATACCTGTTTGCCAGTTGATCTTCTTCCATTCTTTCCAAATGGCCAAACCACTTCAGATTAGCCTTGCTTACTCCCAACTGAATATTTGTTATATTAAGGTTTTTCCTTATATCTTCATTTTTAATATGATTTTGCCACTGACCAAAATACCATATACTAAAAATCCACAATTCACTTTTATCTTATTATATGTTTGGGGATTGACTTATTATAAAGCCTAAACCAGAATTTTGACTCACTTATACAACAATTGGAAGGTATAATAGAATTTAAACTGGAACTTTGACCTTAAACTCTTGAGACTTATTTATATTCAGGTTGACTTACACACTTCTCTATTTAGTTATTTATATTCTTATTCTTTATTAGATTTAATATTATTTGGTAAAATTTAAGCCGCCATTAATCATCTTAATGAAAATCACTATTATTTAATTTTTCTTTCAAGTTTCAATTATAAATTTTTAAAATATTTCAACATAATTTATGTATTAAAATCAAGCCTGGTTAGTGATTTTTCTTTCATAACTTTTCTTATCATAACAGCCATTTTACAAGATAAACTGATTTGTCATCTGTTTGATATTTGATAATTATATTTGCTTAAGTTACTAATACTAACAGTAATCATTTAAGTCTAATTTAAAATAAATTACGTAATATATCGTTCCAGAACATGAAAATCAAAGTACCTTTTACCTAACTTTCATTCTCCTGTTGTTACTTCACTATTTTAGCCCTTGTAAATTTAATATTTTTTAAGTACTTTCTGATATTTAATCGTAAATAACAAATATACTAACAGAAAATTCTATACATATTAAATTTGCACATAATAATATTAACAGTCATAATTGATATCTGACAGATAAGTAGGATTAACTGCAATAAACATTTGATATGAAGATAGCGATTATATGATGACACCAAGATGAACCAAAAATTGAAATAATTTAAGAAAAAATCAATTTCTTAGTCTTGAAAAAATAATTTACAGAATGTTTAGCTTAATCAATAACACTGAAAAATATTGTTTATCTTGAAATCCAAGAAAACTTAGCATCGCTAGCAGATTACCTAATAGGTGCATTGAGTGCATGCCTAGGGCCTCAAATTATGTAATAAAACAATAATATGCCTCTCAAAATTATTAATGTATGATAGCATTATCAATTCATTTGAGAATTTAAAAGCATGAAAGGTAACATAGTAAGTTGTAATACTTATTAGACAAAATTAAATAAATAATCATAAATAAAGAAATAACTTGTTAATAACTTGTTTTTTTATATTAAAAAAAAAGTTTACATAAAAGGCCTTATAACAAAATTGTGTCTAGGTTCTCAAAGGAACATAATCCACCACTGCTCAGAGGTCACACTGCATAGCACTAAAATTGCCACTTGGTGATACAGTATTTTTATTAAAGTGGCAACAAAAATATAATACTGTCAATTGCAAGTGGTGATAAAAACCCTAGTCTACTTGTTTCGACATTTAGTATGAAATTGAATCATAAATCACACTTAGGGAAATACAGAAAAATGTTGAGTTCTGTACAATGGGAGTCTCGTGCACCACACACCTAGCAATTTCATGACGTCACTTGGCAAGTTCAAATAGTAAAGTAAGAAGTTATGTTGAGAACAGAAGGAAGTTTTGTGCAATGCTACCCAGCCTTTCCATAGAGGGGATTTTTTATCAACTGACAGAAATTTTTGGAATTTTTTTTGGGATGACTTTTTTCCACTTTGATCTTTTTTCAGTAGACAAAAACAAAATTTTGTGACATGACAGAACCTTTCAAATACTGTTTAAATATTGTGATCAGATGTGTTATTCAGAATTATTCATTAAAAAAATTATTCAAAAATGATTGCTATTGCTAACAAGGGAAGGGCCAGGCATTTGAATCTATGATTTGAATGAAACATGGTGAGCATGTAGCTTTAAGCACAGATCCTTGACCAAATAATAGGACTCACTTCTCAATCACTTCAAAAAATTGGGCCTCTAAAAATTTAGTGTTTAGCTTATAAGTCTTTGAAAGTTTCAAGTCCCAGAGTGGTAATAGCTGAAAGTTTCAGGTCCCAGAGTGGTAATCCCTGAGTGAATAAGATACTAAATACTGGAGCTAGACAAAGTAGCTTTAAACCTTCGGAGTTTTAGTTTAGATTTTTATGTGTAACTTTATTATTTTACTGCATCATTAGCATGATTATTACTATAATTCCTCACATTTAAAGGTTATAAAACAAATAATCATTTCCTACTTAATGAAAACAAGACATTGTAGATTTACTCTTACATCGTTAAATAAAACTTTTATTTCTTCACATTTATTTTCACATATTTTACATACTATGTCCTCACAAGCGAATAAGCTTCAGATGTTACTGCACAGGGATGAAAAAGACAAGTGATTTGAAAATAAGGTAGCATAGTCACAGCATTTTATTTTTTTAATTGTTAATATTATGGACAATTTCCTCATGTGCTCATATTTGTTACACTTCAAATGTCACAATATCATCATATCTTAAAATAAATATGAAGAAAATTTTATTAGGTTGTTCGGAAAGTAATTTTGTTTTTTACCGCTAGACTGATTAGTCGTACTTTTCCTGCCATTTTCATTTTAAACCGTATTATCATTATATATTTTGACAGCTAGCATTTTAAGGCTTATTTGTAAAAAATTTTGTTTGATTTTGTGCAATTGTTTATTTTTTGTGTCCCATCAAATATGGAAGATCGAAAGCAGCATTTTCGGCATATTTTGCTCTTTTATTACCAAAAAGGTAAGAATGCTGTTCAAGCAAGAAAAAAAATTGTGTGACGTGTATAGAGAAGATGTACTGATAGAACGACAGTGCCAAAACTGGTTTACAAAATTTTGTTCTGGCAATTTCAATATTGAAGATGCACCANTTTTTTTTTTTTTTTTTTTTGTGTTTTTTTTGTATATGTGATAAGATGGCAACTGTACTTTCCACAAATACATTATGCACTATCTACAGATGATTTTTGTCAATAAAATTACAAATACGACAATTTGTCGACTCTCACACTATACTATATAAACGAGTATAGCCTAATTAAATTAATGCAATCCACATGACAATTTTCTTTGCATTTTTCCCACGTTCGCACAGATATCTAACATTATAATGTTCCACCTTTCAGTTTCTTGATGGTGTTTTTCAATGCCTGTCTCTTATTGCAGAACCACACTCTTACTACTTCTCGGTCATAGTTCAGTTTTTCAGCCAGCTCTGTCATTTCGGCTCCTAAAAAATGAATTAATATCATTTAAATCTTAAAAATATATCAGATTTAAATGTCAAAGTTTGATGTAATTCTCGTACCCGAAGGATGAGTATTTTTATCAAAAAACTGATTAAGCGATTCTAATGCCGAAGGTGTGAAGGATGTCCGCCTTTTCCTTTTCTTTGTCGTCTCGCTTCCAATAAATTCGGTAAGGGTGTGCGCTCCATTTTTGTACCTTTCTTCCGCTTCCTTCATCCAGCGTTCTAGGACGGGCTTAATTTTTTGAGCACTCTTTGGCGTTATGTCTAATTTTTCAAACCTAATCAATGCAATTGGGATTAATTTTTATTATTTAAAAAACTTAATTATACATTAGGTAAGATATTTTTGCAATATTAATGACTATACGGTCACCTGCAAATGGCACTCTGACTATATGATGGACCTTCGGTAGCACTTAGTGCTTGTCCTACTTGGGTCTGGGTTAAACCTAAAGACAGTCGACGTATTTTAAATGCTTTGGCAAATTCTTTGATTTCTTCGAGATTTATTCCGTCAACGACATTGGCTTCTGTATTACTTATAGTATCTAGTGAAAAAAGATAAATAATTATTTAACAAAGAATTGGCAATAAGCTTCCTTCATACTGTAACTAGTAAATTAATTAATGAGTTAAAGAAACAGCTTTCAATTTAATTTTATTTTTCATCACTACAACAACAACAACAACCTACAGTAATTTATAAATTAATTAAATATTAAATTTCATATTTTATCAAACACTATCGACAAAAGAAACAAACGCACTTGACTGATGAGAAGGTGAAGTGCCATTTCCGTCCAGAGATGAAGTTACCGATATTCCTTGCTGCTGTACTGCCTGAGTTAGTGGTGATACTGCTCCCTGACCTTGTTGAATCCTTTGTGCAACAGTCTAAAAAGCAATTAATTTAATACTTATATATATATATATATATTTATATTTTACATAAAGTTGCAGGATAATGGCAAACACATAAGACATTATCTTAAAAATAAATTTACTATCAAAATCCTTTTAAGCTTCATTGTAGGTTTCAACATGAATTATTTTAATAAATCATTTGACATCTATGATGAAACATTGCAGGATAATTTACTTAGCAATTTTGTTGTGGCTTACATATTTTTAGGCTATATCGTTTAATAAGATGTAGATTCATAAACTGATGACCAAAAAAAATTAAATGATTAATGTAGCAAGTTTTCTTTATATCTTATGCAAGAGAATAGAATTTAATTGTGAAATAAAAGCAATTATTAACATGTGAAGCAAATTCACAGGCACAGACACAAGATGTTAGCATCAAGTGAGGTAATGATTTAAATTCTTGGAGCTTAAGATTCTTACAATATCAGTTCGTAACATATATTTTTAAACAAATAGAGAAGCCTTATTAAAATGCATCATAAATAAAACTGGGGGAGAGATAGTATATGGCTGGTTCTCTGGAGAGAACTAGAAGAAAAGCAGGTAGTGTGGTCAGTCCCATGCCAATGCCAACTTTATCTTCCAAAAATCATCTTCCATGTACTTCTTGGAGGAGAAACTGAATGGAGTACAGACTCACACAAACCACAACAGGTGAAAACCAGAGATTGTCTGCTTGGCAGTCCAATACTGTACTGTCAACATTAAATGGGTAATGAATAAATTCCCATTTGCTTAAATAATGAACTGATTGGTTAATACTAACAACACTTAATATGGATAGATTATGAAGCAGACAAAGAACAAAAAAGCCATGTGTGTTTAATAGTTGTTTGTGTTTAACTGTAGCATTGTTAAAACCAGGAATTCTGGATTAACAATTAGAACTGGCCAGTTCCCACAAGACACATTGTCTACAGCAGTGAATGCCAACTTTTCTGACCTCATGGACCACTAAACTCATAGGGCCGATTGCAGAGACAGAGTTTACATTAAACGACGTTTATCAACAAACGGCCTATAGCCGTTGGCTGGCTGAACTGCAGTTAAAAATGCATTGCAAAGACGACGATTGTCTATTTCTGACCGTTCTCTAAACGAACTTCGGCAAAACATTGGCTCTTACTTACTTCGCTATTAATCCCCTGTTTTAGGAGTTGTTCGGCCAATCGGGTTATTTCTTTGTGACATCAGAAATGGTCGTCAGCTATATTCGGAAAGCTTCCAGAAATAAAATCTTAAGGCCGTCAAAATCATTGTTCGGCAATTAATGGCAATCCTTTTCCATTTCGATATTTAATTTCATCGCCAATACGATTTAAAATATGAACAAATCCATATTTAGAAAATTTATACCAAATTCGAAATTCGTCTTCGGAATAGATTTTTAAGGAATTATTTCGACATCTTATTACTGTCGAAATGAATAATTTTAAATATTTTATTATTAATATTACATTTTTTTAATATCTATAAACAGATTTCTGTAATTATTAAAATTGTCTCGTGTGTTTAACAGTACAATGACTC